CCAGGAGCAGGGGCTGTGCCCATGGCCAGGAGCAGGGGCTGTGCCATGGGCCAGGAGCAGGGTCTGGAACCACAGGCCATGACCTGGAGATGTGCCCAGGGACCAGGAGCAGGGCTGTGCCAGGGACCAGGAGCAGGGGCTGTGCCCATGGCCAGGACCCAGAGATGTGCCCAGGGAGCAGGAGCAGGGGCTGTGCCAGGGTCCAGGAGCAGGGGCTGTGCCCAGGGACCAGGAGCAGGGGTTGTGCCATGGCCAGGGACCAGGAGCAGGGGCTGTGCCATGGGAGCAGGAGCAGGGGCTGTGCCAGGGACCAGGAGCAGGGGCTGTGCCAGGGACCAGGAGCAGGGGCTGTGCCATGGTCCAGGAGCAGGGGCTGTGCCCATGGCCAGGGCTAGCCCAGAGCTGGGATCAGAGTCTGGAGATGTGCAGAGAGCTGTGAGCAGCTCCTCGCATCGCAGAGGTGCTGGCAGAGGCTCGTGGAGCTGGGCTCTGGCCTGTCCTCACTCAAAGAAGCAGTTATGGGGGAGTGGGGGTTCTGTGGGACCTGGAGCTCCCCACGCAGGCTGGGCAGTGGGGCAAGGGTAAACGAAAGGCTTTAGGGCTTTCAGGGTGAGCTCCAGATTCACCCTGTGTTTCTCTTTGCAGGCTTCCATTAACTTCATTACATCGCAGGATGACAGCAAATCAGTGAGTACAGCTGCCGTGAGAGCTGACTGTGGTGTCCCTGTGCATCCCCCAGCACATGGAGCTTGTCTCTTCCTCCTGTTGGCTCCTATTCTGTCTCCTCCAGCCTCTACTGTGCCTCAAGTTTGTACAAATGCACCAGRTCTTAAGTATGGTCCATCTGAAAACCCAACACAACTGTTGTTGCAGCTTTTATTCCTGTTTCCCCTGCCAGCTTCTCCTCCTGCAGTTGTTGCTGGCTCACCCAGTCCCTGCTGCCACTCTCTGGTGTCCGATGCTTTGTTCACTTTTACACAGCACCCTGCAGTGATGATGACATCTAGGAGTTTCAGACTCTTACTTCTGCTGCAGTAACTGCATTTCTAGTCAGAACTCTGACTCAGTCTGGTTCACTTCCATCACAGCTTCTGCAAACTCCCATTCCTGGCTAACGTTTCACTACTTTCGTCCCTGGTACTCACATTTTCTGAGCTTCATCACCCTTGCCATACCCTGCAAACCCTTGTAGCTGCTGCTGCTATGGCAGGTGCTTCCTTTTGTCCTGGCCTTCTCTGTGACCCACTGGTGCTGTGTAACCCTTCCTGGCTGGGTCTCTTTTGTTGTTGGCTCCAGGAGCTCTCCATGCCCGTCTGGAGCAGGCAGCACAGCTGAGGAAAGCAGCCGGGGTGCATGGRTTTGCATGGATTTGTGTATTCACCTGCATGGCAGACACCTCAGTGCCCTAACTGCTCGTTTCTCTCTTTGTCCCTCCCCTTTCTTTCCTTTTCTGCCTTTCCCTGTGCTGTCCTGGGCACTGCACGAGCAGACCAAGCCCGGCGTCATTCAGCCGCTGTCCCGCGTGCGACCGAGCGCTGCGTCCCACGGCGCGGAGGAGGGGGACAGCCCCAACCCCTTCCAGCAGCCCGAGCCGTGCTTCAGGATCCACAACTCTGTAAGTGGCCTGGGCTCCTCCCTGAAAGCTCCTGGGTGGCTGTGGTGCCATTTGTGGGGGCAGGAGGCCATCCCAGAGGTGACTCTGTCGTTGATGACCATGTGCCTGAGCCAAGGCTGGAGATGTCCATCCCCGAGGAGGAACCCACACTTGTCCCAGCAGAGCCATCCCTCTTGTTTCTCTGGGCCTCCCCAGAGGTGTCYCCATGACCCAGGAGTCAGCACTGCTGAAGCTTTTGTGGCCAAAATCCCCAGAGCAGATCCCAGGTTTAGAGCCATATTTGTGAGATGTTCGTGGAGACACAAATCTTATGGAACCTTTGCTGATGTCTGACACCCTGGAGCAAAAGCCAATACCATCCTGCTCTTGGGTTTTATGGTTTGCAAAATTAGTGGTGTTCAAAGGTTTATATTCCTGGGAGTGTTYGTTGAAGGGAGAGAGGAATTCAGGTATTTTGGTCTTTGTGCTGACAGAAGAACCTGTGTCCCTTCAATAGAAAAGTGGAAGGAATAGTGGAAGGTGTCCCTGTCCATGGCAGTGGGCRGGGCTGGATGGGCTTTGTCCCTTCCCTCACAAACCATCCTCAGTGAGATTCCATGAATCCAGCTCTTCTCTCTCCTCTGGAGCTTGTACAATGTGATACCAAAACAGAGACCTGGTTTGCAGGCAAACAGTTGTACAGAACTCGTGGAATTGGGCAAGGTTCACATTTTACAGTCCCTTCTGCTCTTGCTGTGCTGTCCTTTAGCCCGTGCAGAAGGAGCATCATCAAACAGCATAATTCAGCCCTAATTCAGCCCTAGTCCAGGACTAAGAAAAACGTGGAAGGGCCTGGAACTGGATTAGTGCAGCTGCAGGGTTAGAGATGTGAACAGCTAAAGGGGGTTCCTGCCCAGCAGAAGGAAGGTTGGGGTGTCATTGTCCCCTACCCCTTTCATTTCTGTGATGCTTTGAGCAGGTCACCCCAATGCCACTTCCCCCCAAACGTGGCAGGATGGGTCACAGGAAAGGTGGATGAGGAAAGGAGCAGCAAGGACAGTGACAAGCAGTAGGAATGTCCCCTCAGAGCTGTCAGATGTTTCTCAATAAGTGGAATTCTGCAGAGGAAGAATTTGAGATCATAGGCAGATCTCCTCCAGATCACAGATCCCTGGATCAGATTGTGCAAYCACAGGGTGGTCTGGGTTGGGAGGGATCTTAAAGAGAGGGACACTTTCCACTAGAGGGAATCTTGGTCAGCCCTAACTAGGACTCAGAGTCAGCGTGCAGCTGTCCTGTTGTAGCCAAAAAGCCCTGGTTCAGGTAGGCGCTGCTTGAACTGGGTGGGAATTCTCAAGAGCTGTGGCAGCAACAGGGCCTTGGCCAAAGGATCTGTCCCAACATTCCCAKCAGGTCTGTGCCATCACAAGTACCATTCCTTTACCCTCCAGGAAACAGAGGGGGCTGTGACCCCCACGCTCTGTGTGTAGTGTGTGGTGTGTGCAGTGCTCTGCTCCTCGTGTTCTGCCCAAGGCTCAGAGCAGCCTTTGCAAGGCTCGCCTATCCCTTACGTATTCCCGACATAATCCTTTCCATATCCACYCATCAGGCTCTGCAGGCCAACAGTTGGGCTGTGTTTCCCCATGTAGGTGTTTTCACCCTGCCTGTGCTCACCTTTACCTCCTGTCTGTCCCTGTAGCAAAARCCATCGCCTCCATCACCACCCTCCCCTGACGAGGTCCCCATCAATGTCAAGCAGGCGTACAAGACCTTCGCAGCAGTGCCCCTGTCCCACCCACTGCTGGGGACACAGGTAACTCGTGCTGCTGGCGTGGTGGAGCTCACACAGAGTGGGCAGCCCGAGGTGACAAACCAGGAGGWGCTGATCTGTTCCTCCAAAAGAGCTGCCAGACAGGAGAGATACCCKGAGGTCCTGTGGAAGTTGGGATCTGTTCCTGGTGCAGATGGTCACCCTGGCAGAGTCCTGGCTGTGTCAGGTCCTGGAAGCTCAGGGAATCA